ATTTCTACTATATTTTCTAAAACCAAGTGGTTTATAGGAGAGAATTTATTCAGTTGTGTTTGTTCTTGTGCAGTGGTGGTCTAAACCACATTTTGGATGGAGACTTGTAGTCTGTTATACAGGAACGTTGGGCTGTTCTAAGGTAACGCAAAGCATCAATAGATTCTCCACTTGTCTGTCCACTAAACTACTCACAGGACATGTGAATGGATGCCCAATGATACAGAAACTGAGAAGCTACACACTGTTTCTTATTGGCTCTGTACCATGAATTTTTGTGACTGAGATAAAGCATAAAAATTGCTGTTTTTGTATTTCTTTTCTCATTTTGAATAACCTTACCCAACAATTATACACTGGTATTTTCAGGTCTTCAAGACTGTGTACAGAACAACTCATACAACATTTCTACTATTGATGAAAAATAAGCAATTTTCATTTTCATAGGATCAAGTTAAGACCTATTTCTTTGCTGGCAGCCAAAAGATAACTTAACGTAATTTAAAAAGTAAATCTACAAATTCCTGTTAAGATTACGCCCTATATCCTTTTGCAATGCATAAATTGTCTGTTTATTTTTCCCATTGTTCTCATGTTATTTTGTACACAAAGGCCAACTGTTCGCTGACTTAACACTTAAGGGAATGTTTTGCCTTCATTTTGTCTCAAGTCTTATGTTACAACAGGAGTTGATTTAAGGTATTGGGGGATTTGTATAGCCCATGAATCACACACTTTATTTTGTTTAATTTCTAATATTTGTCTTTTTTTCACCGGAAACAAGCAGTTCAGGCAGTGTCCACAAAGTGGTATAACATGGCATGGAGAGATTGTTATTACAAGAGTTTCTTTGTTTTTTGTCTTGCTTGCTGGTCCTTAATAAGGAGATATGAAGAATATGCTACATCACTTTCCAGTCATTTAGTACATCCATTTTGTATAAACCAATCACTGTTCATTCATAATTTCTACTTCAAGTTCAAATCCGGCCAACAGCCAGATTTCAAAAGGGGGGGGGGGGGGTTCTGAAAAAGTGGACCTTTTACCATGAAACCTTCATGTACCTAGATAAAATTTTAGGGGACCTTTTCTCAGCAAAAAAAAAGGGGTTCTTTTGAACCCCCCCCCCCTTCCCAGCTACAGGCCTGCAAACTGACTAACTATGTGAATGCCACTATGATTTGCTGCTTATTGCACACTATTTGATGAACTACTTTCCAACCTTATATATCATTTTGCTCCATAAAAATGAACAAATTGAAAAAAATTAGTGTTACACTCTAAGTCTATTTACAGATGTCACATAATTACCTTTCTCCAAATTGATCTGCCTTTCCCTGTGTTTAGCATTCTCTACTGCCACCTTCAGCAAACCCTGGATGTTCACAAGGAGACTCTCGATAGACGAGATACCTGAACTGTCATTGGTCAGAAGTTTAGATGACACTGTCTGATCTGTGTAATTATTGGCTGGATCAGCAAGTTGTGAAGATGGTGATTTGGGGTCATTGCTGTTTTCTATAAGATGGATAAAACAGAGTCTACTATTGAGGAAACGCATTTTTATTGTGCTCAATCTTGTATTTTAAAACACAAAGAATGTTTGTAATAATTGAAAAAACTATTAATAACCATATAGCCACCATAGTCAAAGTTGATTTGTGCACCAAGGATGAGAACTTAAAGTTCAGGAAGTATAATACAGATATAGAGCCTGCATGTGAGATCAGTTTTATGTGAGATGGTTTTAATCTCTCTCTCTCTCTCTCTCATTAATGGCTATTCTTGTCTGCCGACATGTGTTGGCATGATAAATGACATTGTCTCCCCTCCCTTCCTCCCTCCCTCTCTCTCTCTCTCTCTCTCTCAGATCCACTCACCCTCACTGTTCTCCTCTTCAGAATATTCTAGATCTTCATCATCACTCCTGATCTCCCTGTTCATGCCACTGGAGCCATGTTTGGACAGGTCCAATGTCTGGCTATGACCATTCATTGTGAGGTCAGTTGGCCTACACAAATCTAATGAAGATAAGGCATATTGTTTATTATGCAAAACATTTTATTAAGAAATGAATATGAAGAGTGGCCATTTAAGAAACCAAATAAGAGCTGTCAAGAAAACTAATCAGACTACCTTCAAATATTGGTACACATCTTCATATAGTTACAGGTTACAATATCCATCATATTTTCTTTTATGTGTGAGGGTAAAGGTTTCTGTTTCTTATATGAGCAAGGGAAAATTCATGATCAAGTACAGCTGGTTGAGATATGCTTACATGAAGACAATTTTGTCCAAATTTCCCAGTAATTCTATGTCTCCCTTTTCACTGGTTTTAGTCAACTAAATATCCAATGACCACAAAAATCAAAATACTCTTGCATACAGTTTTTTTTTTTTTTTTCAAAAAAATAAATATATAGAATAGGGACATTATTCTGCAGAGGACAAAAATGACAATTGGGCCAGTGTCTACCTTCTTTTGCCTGGTAAGCATAATGCCTGTCAGGTTTTCCTGGGGAGTCCATCTGTGGCTCCCCCTGTGGGCTGCGAGCTTCATAACGGTCATCCTTTGTCCTGGAATTGATTTGTAAATATCCAATCTTAATTTTTTATTCCAATACACATTTCGGTGTATGGCGTATGGTTTTGGCTATGGACTAGTAGTTACATGCCTTCTGGTTGTGTAAAAATCTTGGACCTTAATGAACTGAAGCTATCAGTGATCAAGAGCTAATTATGAGAGGCCAATTAAAATGACAACTGATTTCTTTATAAAATTCATTTTACTTAAATATAAATGTTAAGCACAATCTTTGTATGCCTTACTTTGGGGAGCACAGGGGTGATGTCAGGGCCTCCCTTGGTGTCAAACTGTCAGCTGGTCTGAAAGGAAAATGATTGGCCATCGCCATGGAAACAGCAGGGTACGCCATCGGATGCTGGAGGTGCATGAACGGAAGCATGGCCAGATGATGTGGATAATGGTTGTAGCCATTGGACAACAGGGGTGACTTCTTCTCTGTGAAAAAGAACTCTTAAGATAAGGGATACTGCAATTTTTATGTTGCACTGTGTCTACAAGTTTACATGTTTTACATATTTTTTATTTTTGAAAGCAAAATTCCACATATTATAACATTGTCTAAATTGAAATATTTTCCCAGGCAAAGCAATTTCCTTTTAAATTGTGCTTTCAACGCCTCTGTACAGGATTTCAAGAATATTTTAATTTTATATCCATGCAGTGTAGTACCTGGGTCAGCAAAAGGGTGTTCCCTGTATATACCATAGTCTCCTGAATCTAAACGACTCTTTTTCAGTTTTTGCAAGGTATCTGTTGGACTGGGAGACAGTATGGAACTGCGTTTAGGTGGTCTACCTGGCCGCGCACTACAAATAAAAAAAGACAAATAAAAATATGTAAATTATAAAAACATACTTCACATTACAGAGTGTCTTAAGTTTTTGGGTCCTCAGTTATCAAGTTCAGGAGTGTTTTATGTACTTTGCTGACTAATTTGACAGCCAGTTGGGCAGAAAAAGTTGCCCCAACAGATGGAATGACAACCACCACCACCACTTGGGGGCCCATAGGGGGGGGGGNTGGGACATTTGTATAGCCCATGAATCACACACTTTATTTTGTTTAATTTCTAATATTTGTCTTTTTTTCACCGGAAACAAGCAGTTCAGGCAGTGTCCACAAAGTGGTATAACATGGCATGGAGAGATTGTTATTACAAGAGTTTCTTTGTTTTTTGTCTTGCTTGCTGGTCCTTAAAAAGGAGATATGAAGAATATGCTACATCACTTTCCAGTCATTTAGTACATCCATTTTGTAAAAACCAATCACTGTTCATTCATAATTTCTACTTCAAGTTCAAATCAGGCCAACAGCCAGATTTCAAAAGGGGGGGGGGGGGGGGGGTTCTGAAAAAGTAGACCTTTTACCATGAAACCTTCATGTACCTAGATAAAATTTTAGGGGACCTTTTCTCAGCAAAAAAGAGGGGTTCTTTTGAAACCCCCCTTCCCAGCTACAGGCCTGCAAACTGACTACAGTATGTGAATGCCACTATGATTTGCTGCTTATTGCACACTATTTGATGAACTACTTTCCAACCTTATATATCATTTTGCACCATAAAAATGAAAAAAACTGAAAAAAATTAGTGTTTCACTCTAAGGCTATTTACAGATGTCACATAATTACCTTTCTCCAAATTGATCTGCCTTTCCCTGTGTTTAGCATTCTCTACTGCCACCTTCAGCAAACCCTGGATGTTCACGAGGAGACTCTCGATAGACGAGATACCTGAACTGTCATTGGTCAGAAGTTTAGATGACATTGTCTGATCTGTGTAATTATTGGCTGGATCAGCAAGTTGTGAAGATGGTGATTTGGGGTCATTGCTGTTTTCTATAAGATGGATAAAACAGTCTATTATTGAGGAAATGCATTTTTATTGTGCTCAGTCTTGTATTTTAAAACACAAAGAATATTTGTAATAATTGGAAAAAACTATTAATAACCATATAGCCACCATAGTCATAGATGATTTGTGCACAAAGGAAAACTGATGAGAGCTTTAGTTTAGGAAGTATAATAAAGATATGGACCCTGCATGTGAAATCAGTTTTATGTGAGATAGTTTTAATCTCTCTCTCTCTCTCTCTCTCTCTCATTAACGGCTATTCTTGTCTGCTGCCATGTGTTGGCATGATAAATGACACTGTCTCCCCTCTCTCTCTCTCTCTCTCTCTCATTTTCACTCACCCTCACTGTTCTCCTCTTCAGAATACTCTAGATCTTCATCATCACTCCTGATGTCCCTGTTCATACCGCTGGAGCCATGTTTGGACAGGTCCAGTGTCTGGCTATGACCATTCATTGTGAGGTCAGTTGGCCTACACAAATCTAATGGAGATAAAGCATATTGTTTATTAACCAAAACATGTTATTAAGAAATGAATGTGAAGAGTGGCCATTTAAGAAACCAAATTAAGAGCTCTCATAAAACTAATTGGACTACCTTCAAATATTGGTACTCCCATCTTCATATAGTTACAGGCAACAATTAATATCCATCTTATTTTCTTTTATGTGTGCGTGTAAAGGTTTCTGTTTCTTATATGAGCAAAGGAAAATTCATGATCAAGTACAGCTAGTTGAGATGTGTTTAAATGGAGACAATTTTGTCCAAATTTCCCAGTAATTCTATGTCTCCCTTTTCACTGGTTTTAGTCAACTAAATATCCAATGACCACAAAAATCAAAATACTCTTGCATTTTTTTTTTTTTTTTTTTTTGAAAAAAAGAGCAGTTTAAATATATAGAATAAGGACATTTTTCTGCAAAGGACAAAAATGACAACTGGGCCGGTGTCTACCTTCTTTTGCCTGGTAAGCATAATGCCTGTCAGGTTTTCCTGGGGAGTCAATCTGTGGCTCTCCCTGTGGGCTGCGAGCTTCATAACGGTCATCCTTTGTCCTGGAATTGATTTGTAAACATCCAATCTTAATTTTTTATTCCAATACACATTTCAATGTATGGTGTATGGTTTTGGCTATGGACTAGTAGTTACATGCCTTCTGGTTGTGTAAAAATCTTGGACCTTAATGAACTGAAGCTATTAGTGATCAAGAGCTAATTATGAGAGGCCAATTAAAATGACAACTGATTTCTTTATAAAATTCATTTTACTTAAATATAAATGTTAAGCACAATCTTTGTATGCCTTACTTTGGGGAGCACAGGGGTGATGTCAGGGCCTCCCTTGGTGTCAAACTGTCAGCTGGTCTGAAAGGAAAATGATTGGCCATCGCCATGGAAACAGCAGGGTACGCCATCGGATGCTGGAGGTGCATGAACGGAAGCATGGCCAGATGATGTGGATAATGATTGTAGCCATTGGACAACAGGGGTGACTTCTTCTCTGTGAAATAGAACTCTTAAGATAAGTGGTACTGCAATTTTTATGTTGCACTGTGTCTACAAGTTTACATGTTTTACATATTTTTTTTATTTTTGAAAGCAAAATTCCACGTATTATAACATTGTGTAAAATGAAATATTTTCTCAGGCAAAGCAATTTCCTTTTAAATTATGCTTTCAACGCGTCTGAACAGGATTTCAAGAATATTTGCAGTGTAGTACCTGGGTCAGCAAAAGGGTGTTCCCTGTATATACCATAGTCTCCTGAATCTAAACGACTCTTTTTCAGTTTTTGCAAGGTATCTGTAGGACTGGGAGACAGTATGGAACTGCGTTTAGGTGGTCTACCTGGCCGCGCACTACAAAAAAAGACAAATAAAAATATGTAAATTATAAAAACATACTTCACATTACAGAGTGTCTTAAGTTCTTGGGTCTTCAGTTATCAAGCTCAGGAGTGTTTTAAGTACTTTGCTGACTAATTTGATGGCCAGTTGGGCAGAAAAAGTTGCCCCAACAGATGGAATGACAACCACCACCACCACTTGGGGGCCCATAGGGAGGGGAGAGAGATAATAGTTAATGGTACCTGTTTCCTTACTATCTCCTTTTTCATAGAAAATATCAAAACACTAAATCATTTACAGGAAAAATACATTCATCTTGAGCAGAAAACTTTGAATGTCACAAGGAAGTTAATAATTCCCCATAAGTGTACTCTATTTTTTCCAATTCACGAAGATCACAGACCTGGAAAATTCAGAGAGCATGAAATCAATTTGATTTATGTTGATACACAGTGCAGTTAATGGCATATCAGTGAAGTTGTACTGCAATAGTATTGGGTTTAATCAGCCATGCATGAATTACGCAGCTTAAAAGTAGCAGTGAGAACACACAGTAAATGGTTCACAGGTAATCTAATTACTGGGTTCCTCAGAGTGGTTTCGCTTCTCCTCTCAGCCTCAGAATGATTTTTAAAGTGTTACAAACTGTTGAAAACCAATCCAGTCTACTTTGCCATTTCATAAAGGCAAACATTTTTTTTTTTTTTGCTTTCCAAGAACCAAGGCAAACGTACTAATAGGCACGCTAGTAGCATAAATGCTAGTATAGCAAATTTTTCTCTGTTTTATTGATCAGTTTGCAAAAAGGTGCAAAATGGCCAGTTTATTTTACTCTGATCATATCATTCTTAAACTTCCATGCTATCATATCCATATAATACTTGAAGTTGTTACTTTGACTCAATCAGTCCAAAATATGTATGTATAAAAGCATATATATTCATGTCAATTTAATGGCATTGCCTAACACCTTTTTAACACCCTTCATTTACCTGTCACAATACTTCTCCAAACATAATTGGCAAAATTGTTATTATTGTCAGAGACTAAAAAAATATTTGCACGTGCTGCTTTTAACATTAGTTTTGTTTGAAATGACATAAAATCTAAATTTATTTCATTTTTTTTTATAGTTTTGCACATTGCATGTTTACTTTCTCCAGTATCTTAGAAAAATACCATAAATGAATAGACATGGAAATATTTATGTTTCTTTTTCTATTCCATTGTAAAATGCAATATTGCAATAAAGATTTAAAATCTTATTGACTAGTTCCTCAGCTGGCATGAAGTTAAATCTCAGAATAATGGCTGTGACTCAACCTTTAATGAAAATACTGACTTAGTCCATGCAATGTTGGACAATTGTTTATAAATAGAATCACACATCTGTACAGAATAGTTTTGTCATCCCATCACACCAATATAACCCCAATCTAAGCAATAATGTAGCTTCATTAGTGTCACTTAATTAATACTTAATTCATTTCTTTGATAGTGATCCAAGAGATCCTGTGCAGGATTTGTGGGAAAGGCTAGATGTGTCATCTGGGAAAGAAAACGGCAAAACACTGTCACCAAATGATTAATTTTTACCGGAAAATAAGCATTTGTGAATACAATGTTAAGTACACTAATTTTTCATTTTCATAGGGTGCTATTTTTCATAGGACTTAATGAATCGCTATCTTCCCACTTTCCATAAAGATGAATTATATTATATCTTTGGCTTTACTCTGGCTAATATCTCCAAATCCACACTAGGGACTGGCTTATCACATTTTGTGTGCGAACAGCAATAAGAAATCGTTTCATAGCACTCTGGACATCCGATTATTTGATTTGGGTGTTTTGTCTCTGCAGGTGATTTTTCATCTTAATTAACAATGGTAGTTTTGATAATCTAATATAAGGATATGATGAACTTCAATAGACACTTCCCCTTCCCTGATGGTTTATCACTATATGTGGAGATTGTGAGGATGAAGTCAAATGAAGGATTGAGGTCTTCAAGGCAATCACACTTTCCATCTCGTACACTCTCAGTGCATCATGAATGCCTCAGATCAAACATGTTAAAAAGCTTACTGGGCATCAGCCTACAAAACTTGGAGCACCATCACATATATGTGATCCTGTTGCATGAGCAAGTTAAATTACCTCTTTTTTTAAAAAAATTATTAAATTCTGTTTAATGCAGTGTCATTTCAACCCCCCCCCCTCCACCTCAGCTGCTTAATGGTCATGAATGGTTAGCAACACCTTGATGATTATGTTCGCTGTTGTGAGTGCTATTTATCACTCAGAGTTGCCAAGAAGACCGTAAACCAAACCCAGAATTCACCTTTAATTGCTGAGCTCAAGTGGAGATGGTACTACAATAAAATCATTTTATTTGCTCATTTTGTAGCCATGATAGGGATGGCACCTGCAACTTTTTTTTCAGTGTTCCACCCTGCCCTTAGGGGGAGGCAGATGGAAACACAAAGAGAAGACTGATACATTTTAACCGTAAAAATTATTTACCACAGCTAAATACATATTAACGTTCAATAACCAAAAATATATTTATAAGGTATATTTCTTAATTTGCATAAATTTTTAATGACTTCAGCAAAGAGCAACAACTTATTTTCATTTTCGACGCGGACAGAAGCACCTTCCCCGAAATATTTTGCCTAATTATCAAAATGACTTCATACCACAGTGACAAGAGCCCCTTTTCCTGTTGCCACCCATTAGCAGATTGCATCTCATACAGAAATATTTCAATTTTATTTCTTCTCATTAAGTCAAGATGATGACATTGGTAGCTATTGTTGATTTCAGATAATGCAGGTGTTCTTTTCTCATGTATATTTCTGACAGTCAAATAAACCTGGCGCCTCCGATATTATTTGCATTTGATGAAACACAACGTAATGATAACATTCAATGGTGAAATAAACATTTCATACTGAAACCCACACTGTTATAACATCTCTGGGCAATATTGCCAATTCAATAAACTAATTTAGGCTTTTCCTTGTGTTTGAGCTTTTTTACACAGTGAGTTTCTTAAACAAATATCACACGTCCATTCATGGTCTTTGAATTTTTTATTTTTATATTTTTGCTCACTGCAAGCATATTTGAGTTCCTTTTTACCAGTCTCATAAAGGTTTTATTCTAAGTGCAGCAAATATTTGAAACCCTATGAGAACGGAACATCATTCACCGGTAGCTCACGGGTGGCAAATGGCACTCATGTTACGTCAAATTATGTTTTATTTAAACTACAGTCGACTTCCTAACCTGAAAAAATTGTTTTCACATGGCAGAGAGAATTGAAATAGAAATTGGTCTGCAATGCAACACCTTTCGTTCTGAGTTAAGAACATGTGAAATACAAACAGGAAGGCATGGATAATAAGAAGCATTCACTCTCTCGTGTCTTTTCTTTGTTATGAGAAATTCAACAGGATATTAAAATGAAGGAAATCATCGTTCTGTGACACAGTCTTTCTGTCATATTACAACCTCTCAATTAATTTAAGTAGTCATCTTTACTGACTGAATTACAGTTTGCTTCTGTTGCATACTTTTGACAGTGTATATATTTACACATGATTACCTAATTTGTGCCTTGTGTGGCTGTCACCTGGCAAACACGACAACATCTGGTATTTGTTCTTCTCATAAAGGATCAAAGGCCCCTCTCCAAATATTGTCAGTAGTCAGTAAGCTGGGAAACAGGGATCAGTGTTTTTAACTACTTACAGTGATTACTTTCAACAAAGGGGCACCCACCACCTTTCAATGCCAACGATACACTATGATATTGGTGATAATACCCCCCTTGAGAAATGAATGCATGAATCAAACTGTCATTAACCACTTTTCTTCCTAGACACTCACTATCATTTTTTTCCAATTAGATATTTTCAGTGATATATCTTTTTCCTAACATGCCTCTCTCTCTCTCTTTCTCTCTCTCTCTCTCTCTCTCAATAAACACAACACAATCACAACACAACACAATCAAATACCTCTCTTCACCCCAGGTTAAGTCTTACAAGTCAAACAACAAATCTATTTTCTTTCGCATTTTCCCTTCTATCTACCTGACCCTAATACATGGGCCAAGTATGCAGTTACACAAAGCTAACCCCCCTCGTAACCTAAACACTCTCGCAAGTAAACTTTTCTTACAAACATTACATAATAAGTTTAGCCGTTACATTGAACATTGTTTTCCACAACATGGTTAGTTTTCAACATGATTTCCACATCAAAGACAATGCAGGTAGGAATTACCATTTCACATAAGCTGAACAAGAATCATAAGCTGGCTAAATATTTATTCATCTATCATAGAGTAGGAAAGGGTGGGCCACTGGTCGGCGAAAATATAGAAAGTAAAATGCTATTGTCAATACAGAATCATAAACTCTATTTGATATCAACATATTGAAGAGGGCTGTACCATTGGGTTTATTATACCGACAAACAATTTCAATTGATTTTGGTTCCACACGATCAATTAACTGTCTCAACAACACGGAGTACACACAGTCTAGTATTTGTGCTGCTTTCACCAAAATCATGATGGATTAGATGGCCATGCAGGTTACTAAGTTTTCCCACCCCAATTCTAGTATTTGACAGCTAAAAGCCACCCAAAACAAAGATTTCCTAGCATTAATGCACAACTCCTAGTATGTATTCAAGATAAGTCAAACAGAATTATGAGTAAATACTACTGGTCAAACACACATTTACATTTTATAATTATTAAGCGGTGCCTTTGAAATTTCTCCTTCAGAAGTCAATCGTTTTTAACAACACTCTAACTGGCTTAGGTGGGAAGTATAAATAAAGGACTCTATTTGTTTTACATGGTGCAGAATCAAAGATGATAAAATATGTAAAAAGAGAAAACAGAAGAGTGAAAATTCAAAAAGATGTGATGTGATTGCTCACTAGTTTTCCTTTTTGTCATGAAAACACAGCACTTTTTTCCACAAAACTAT